TGTGAAGAAAGCATCCAACTAAAAATGACAGTAAATTTATAAAGCGTCACTTTCCCTCGATTATTGAGTTGAATCTGTCGATATATTGCATCCCTTTAAAATGAGAAAGGCAACCAAATCTTTTGCATTGCCTTGCTATTTTTGTTTGGTTCAGTTCCTTTTTCCCTTCTTACCTTCTTCTTCTTTTTTTTGTTTTTTTTTTTTTTGGGTAATGAGAACAATAGTTAAAAATTAGTACCTGTTCAATAAGCAAAGAGATTTAAATATAAGTGATCTCCATTTACTCCTTGTGGAGGAGTGCGGCCCAACTAGTAGGTGGCATGTGGGAGTTCTCCCTCTTACTTTTTAAATTGACAAGCCATCCCTTTTTTTTTTTTGGTAGAATGGTTTTTTTTTTCTTTTTTTTTTAACATCAAATATATAATAAGAGATGATAATCTTATTGGTTAAACCCTTAATTTGGTACTTCAATTATTACATGGACTTTTTAGTTGGTTCTTGAATTAAACAAATCTATAATTTAATTTTTGAAAATTTTAAATTTGGTTCTTAGTTTTTCTATTAAAAAACAATTAATGTGTCTTGTTATTTGATCGTAGAAAGCTATTATTTGATGATCATATATTATGTTAGTAACAAAATATGTTAATTATTTTTTAACGAAGAGATTAACTTGAAGTCAAATTTGAAGACCAACTCAGCAGCTTGTATATTAATTAAGGGACCAAGTTAAGAATTTAACCTAATTCTATTTTACAATTCAAAAAAAGCTATTAGATAGAGAAGGGGACTTTATACAATGGTTAATGTGTGCATTTCAAACTTTTTCCATAAAATATAGTATTGGAATTCCTCAAATCTCTCATTACCCATATCAAAATTCAAACTTAAAATATTAACTTCAGTTATTACCCCTTTGAGGGGGGGTTTGGTTCAGTTCTAGGAAAGTTGGAAACACGTACTTGCACATGCAACAGTGTGACAGTTCAGAAAGAAATTGGGTGCACAGAGAAAAATAATTGCAGCTGAATTGGGACCCAGTTTTGGACCTTCAATCTCTGGTTTCAATTGAAGAGCATCAAATCTGGTTGGACTCATTTTGTTTGAAAACA